CCACTGAGCCATCCTGGCATGTGAAACTTGGAATTTTTTAAAGACTTAACCAATAAGCTGAGTTTGAATTTTCTGAACCTGAAAAAGTAGTTTTAATAATTCCCTCGTGTACATTTGCAAAGAAGCCATTAATATATTTGTAAAAAGCTGTAAGAATCATGGCAGAAAGGGCAGCAAGGCTCCCAAGGTGAAACAACAAATAAGAGGACAGTTTATATGAATCTTTTTTCTAGTCTAGGTTCAGGTTATGGAGTAAATGGAGACAGTCTCTCCCTGAACCATTTTGCTTTTTGTCCTTTGTTGTTAGAACTAGACAAAAACACCAAAATGTATAGTCATTAAAGATTATGAAATTAAAAATAATGCTCAGTTTCAAAAAATTCAAGTCCATAGTCACCGGGCCCTTTCACTGAAAATAGTCATTTCATCATTTTTGCTTCTGGGAGCAAAGTTTGGCACGTAGTGAATAGGAATGAAAACATGAGACAGCAGAAAGTCTTAGCACAGTGCGGTCTAAAAGGCTTGTAAGCATCTTTAGGTAATAAATAATGGAGCTGGAAAACTGCCTGTAAGAGCTAAAGTTTCTGGCCAGAAGTGAAGACTAGCCAACGCATTTGAAAAGTAAAGTAGCATGAAGCAAAATCAGCAGATGTTCAAGGCAACTTTTCTTATGTAAAACTCCATAAAGAAGTATGGCACGAAAACTCATTTAAACAAATAATGCTAAAGAAAAATTTGCATTGTATTTGTTAGTCAAGGTAGAGGTAGGCAGGTGAGGTGGTTGGGGGAAGGGAGTTACCACTTGGCAAAAAGGCAGCTCCAAAATTCTAAAATCATGTTGCTAATCTGTGTGATCTAAGGACAAGTGTTGAGAACAAAAAACAATTACCTTCCCTTCAGGCCTAGTTGAGCTTTTCTGCCCCAAATGGTTTTTAAAAGACTCCTCCTGGATATCATCAAGAAAATGTTCACATCCAGATACTTCGTGATTTAAAATTATTGTTTATCAAGAGCAGAAAAGGGCCATTTGTAATCATGCAAAAAATGGAGAAGAGCTTTTGGATTGAAATTCTTAGATTCTCTGTAGCATAGAAATGAAGTCTTTTTTAAAAGCAGTCTGGGGGCGCCTGGGTGGCTCAGTCGGTTGGGCGACCGCCTTTGGCTCAGGTCATGATCTCGTGGTCCGTGAGTTCGAGCCCCGCTTCGGGCTCTGTGCTGACAGCTCAGAGCCTGGAGCCTGTTTCAGATTCTGTGTCTTCCTCTCTCTCTGACCTTCCCCCATTCATGCTCTGTCTCTAAAAATGAATACACGTTAAAAAAAAATAAAAAAAAAATAAAAGCAGTCTGCACAAAAGTTTTTATTCAGACAAATGTTAGATTAAGAGGTGTGAGAAAAGGTACAGAGAATCCACCACCAACAGAGAGCTAAGGTCAAGGCTGGCTTCCACACGAAGAAGGGCCAGTCAGGGCCAGTCCCTCCTAATGAAGCCCTCTTCAACCAGGACCTGGCAGACAGAATTGGTAGAATCTGCAACCACCAAGGAGAATTAGACCCATCTCTGTAATGACGAATGATTAGCAAAGATAGTGTATCTTGGTTAGAAAAAAAGGAGTTATCTCAACAAAGTAAATAACAGTTGAAACATCCTACTCTTCAAATTCTGCAGTGGCTTAAAAGGAGAGAATTTGCTTTGCTTCTACTATGAATTAACCCTAATTAATTAATAGTTGCTTACCTAGGACCCCCAAATTTTGTTTGCATTAAGATTGTAATGCTGAAACTAATTTTTTGCCATCGCAATAAAAATTCAAATTTTGGCAAACTGGGTTTTGATACATACCACATATTAAATAAATATCTTATGAAAAGTGATTACATCTTAATTCTTATATGAGGGTTAGGAATAAAATTCTTTACACAAATTAATGCAAAGAGCATAAGCAAAATAATTTTAACTAACAGCTGTGGAAATTCTTTCTCTTCTCCCTTCACTCTTGTTGAGAAACAGTAATCTTTTTTCAATTTAGGGATATAATGTTAGGGAATAATGTTAAAATAATGGCATATTACATAATTGTATTTACTATGAAAGAAGGCCAAATCTTTTGTCAGGGATCTTTGAGTGAGAAAATGTGTGTAGTCGGTGTTCTAAAGCTCGAGTGATTGAAGCCTGCACTACCAGCCTGCAAGATGACCCCAATGATCCCTGACCCCTGGTAGTCATACCTTTCTGTCCCACATTAACAGGGCTGACCCATGTAACTCACAGGATGCTATGGGAATGACATAATAGTTTTCACCTTGTTCTCTCATGAATGCTTGTTCTAGAGGAAGCCAGCTGAGATGTTACAACATTCAGGCGACCCTACAGAGAGGTGCTCATGGCAAGGAACTGAGAGCTCCTACCAACCATGTGAGTGAGCCAGGTTGGAAGTGGGTCTTCCAGTGCCAGTCAAACCTTCACAGGACTGCAGCCCCAATCAACATCTTGACTGCAATCAAATGAGAACTCAAGGGAAACTGCCCCTAGATTTCCGAGTCACAGAAACTGCTGAGTTAATAAAGAAATTTACAGCAATACTTATTGCTGTAAATCACAAGATTTGGGATAATTTGTTACTACAGCAATAGATTAGAAAGTGTGTGTGTGTTTCCCCCCTCCAAGAAATAGTAATAGCAAAACAAATGAACACACCCATTGTAAGTCATTTACAAAGCTGATTGGTTCTGCAATTACTCGGACTTATGAGGCCTTATCTCAAGGAATTTGCCATTTAGTTCCTTTTTTTTGAAAGTGCTGTGCTGAGACCAGCAGTATTGGCATTACTTGGGAGCTTGTTAGGAATGTAGAATTTCAAATTCTATCCCAGACCTACTGAATCAGAAGCTACATTTTATGAGATTCCCCCACTGCATGTAAGCACATCGAAGTTTGAGAACACTTATGTGTTTGATTGTTAATGTTACAGCCTGTAGTTGGAAACCCTGGCTACGTACATTAAGAGCACTTTCAAAAACTACTGTTGGAGAAGCCCAACAGTAAATTGTGATTTAATTGGCTGGGATTGAGGTCTATTTTAGAAATTTTCCCCTTGAAAACTACACTGAAACCTCAGATCAGCTGACTTCCTGGCCTGCTCCAGGCCTGATTCTAGAAGTCAGCTATGTCCGGGTCTGTCCCTGAGATTGCTCTGGGGCTACAATGCTGCACTGAACAGGATTCTTCTGGGGCATTGCCAGGCCAAGGCAACTTCACGCCTGCTCAAGAACTACTGCGGATTTTTCTGCCTTCTCATATTCATGTTCTTCCAGGACTCAGTTCATTCCAAGAAAAGTATCCGTGCTTTCCTACCTTACAGGTCGATTTGGATTTGTTTTCTAGGGCCAGAGAACCAGGTGCTGAATAAATAAGGTTTCAGGGTAGGTTGGGTAACCTGCTGGATTAGGACCAAACATCTCTTAGTTTTATATTTCCCTAATGGCAAAATGGAAGTAACTAATGTTTCTCACAAGCCTTTAGGAGATATGTTTTTACTGTTGACCAAACGCTAGTAAACTAAGATTTCCAATGTGATGGGTGCTTACAAATGTTAGACATATTGCTTAATAAGAAGCTTAAATTTACAACATTTAATACCACTTGAGTGCAAGTGGGGGAGGGGAGGTGTTTGTTTCCCTTACTAATGCATCCCCAGTGATGGAAACAATGCCTAGCACATGGCATGCTCTTAAGAAATATTTGTTGACATAAATCCCTCAAAACCCAGTAACTTGTGATGATTCATTCAAAGTTACTCAGCATCCTATGTTAGCAAATCTGCAATGGAAACTGTTTTATTAAAGGTTTTTTAAATAAAGCTTCAAATTTCCTCTTAAAAAGTAAATTTTGTGCCCAAATCCAATGGCATGTTTCGAATTTCTGCCCTAGTTTGGCCTCGGTTCCTCCTTTGGAGATTAGTTAGGGATGTGATCTCTGCCCTTGAATCTCCTTCCTTTGTAATTTTTTTGGCCTGCGCGTTTACGTTTCCCAGGCGGAGGAGCGCGCGCCGCGGCTGCGCCCATTAGCGCGCTGCGCGGGTTTGTAGCTGTCAGGCGGGCGGGGCTGCCTAGGACCCGGGAGGAGCCGCTCCTCTCGCGCCGCAGAGCCTCCGCGCCGACTCGTGCGTCCCCCTTCTCCTGGCGCACCCACTTCCCTCCCGGGTTTTGGCAGCCCTTTGGGGGCAGGAACCCCCCCCAACCTCGCGGAGTCGGGGTGCGGATGCTCAGGGGTGGACTGGGCCGGCCGGCAGAGAGGGAGGCGGGCTGCATTATTTCCCGCTAGGGCCGGGCTCTGGGGGAGGAAGGGGCCCCGCACTGCCTTCCCAGCCTGAGTCCGCGCGCGCCGCCCCAGGGCAGGGCCTGCGGAGGAGCGAGGCGGCGGCGCCGCATCCCGGGCCTCTGGCTGGGCGCGTGGGCGGGCCGAGGCCGGGCGCGACGCCCCTGCGGGCCCGCGGCGCCTCTCCCACGCTCCCAGCTCCTCCCCCTCCTCTTCCTTCCCCTCAGCCTCCCGGGAGCCGCCGGCGGACGCGAGCCGAGGCGGGCGCCCGAGCTTTGTGTGCGCCCGCGGGCCCGGGGCGAGCCTGGGGCGGTCCAACTTTGCGGCTCCTGGCCGGCTCCCAGGCGGGAGTTGTGAGGCGTGGCTTGGTGGAGAAGGCAACCGGGGTTGGGGGGGGCCGTGAGGCTCCCCGGTAGGCGGGAGGGATCGAGCGAGCCGCTCTGGACAATGAGCTGGGCAGCTCGACGCTGTGGCCACTTTTAGTGGGGGCGCGGGCCGGTCGGCGCCTCGGCTGCTCAGAGGCCCCCACCTGCGAGGAGAGGGCGGGATGCCAGAGCCAGGTGTCCCGGCGCTGTGAGGCCCCTCACGGTCAGACGTCCCTGTACTTGATTCTCGCATTGACGTTGGGCTACCGAGAGGTTGTGACTGGGACGTTTTTTGTGGGGAGCCCTTGGAGCAGCCGCGATGGCCAGCACCAGGAGTATTGAGCTGGAGCACTTTGAGGAACGGGACAAAAGGCCGCGACCAGGGTCGCGGAGAGGGGCGCCCAGCTCCTCGGGAGGCAGCAGCAGTTCGGGCCCCAAGGGGAACGGGCTCATTCCCAGCCCGGCGCATAGTGCCCACTGCAGCTTCTACCGCACGCGGACCCTGCAGGCTCTGAGCTCGGAGAAGAAGGCCAAGAAGGCACGCTTCTACCGGAATGGGGACCGCTACTTCAAGGGCCTGGTGTTTGCCATCTCCAGCGACCGCTTCCGGTCCTTCGATGCCCTGCTCATCGAGCTCACCCGCTCCCTGTCGGACAACGTGAACCTGCCCCAGGGCGTCCGCACCATCTATACCATCGATGGCAGTCGGAAGATCTCCAGCCTGGACGAGCTGCTGGAAGGTAGGAGGAGAGGGCCCCGCGCGGCAGGTGCGGCCCAGCGCGACAGCAGGTGCAGTGGCCATGGGCCGGCGCGCGCCCGCTTGCGCTGCGCAGAGGGGAGTTTATGGGGTGTTTTCTAGGCCGCCATGGGAACTGTACGTTTCTGTCTGCTTTTTTGTAGATTTTGTGTGTGGGGCGCGCTCCCATATACAGTGTCCTTTCCCGGAGATTTGTCTTTAAAAAAGAAAAGAAAGAAATCCCAGTGGCCTTTCGTGCCATCTCTTAAGATTGGTGAACTTGGAGTTTTTGTTTGTTTTTACTGCAAATTGTTTGAAAAGGTGGCTCTCAGCTGAGGATCTGATGATGATAAGCTTTGATGATAAGCTTTCTGTTTGGCCCTCTGTGTGGACCTCGGTGCAGGCACCTGTGATGTTCCAGCGTTTGGGACCCTGTTGTACCTGCTCTACTCAGAAGTTGGGGCTGTGAAACGCTCTAGGCTGACTTTCCTAGTTTGGCTTTCAGTGTGTAATTTAAGGTCAGAAGGCATGATCCTAGACAGTGGCTCTCAACCTTGGGAGCATCTTGGATCACTAGGGACTTTAAAAAATTATGGATGGCTGTACCCTGCCCCCAGATATTCGGATGTTTGGGGTGTGATCTGGGCAGTTGGAGTTTTAAAAGCTCCCCAGGTGGTTGCAATGTACAGACAAGATTGAAAACCACTGTGCTACAGGGTTTTCTACATTTGGCTGGTAATGAGGTGAATCAAGGTCAGTCTCTCCTGCCTCCTCCCCTACTGAAAGTAGCTAGTTAAGATGATAGAGTCTGTTGGAGTCAGCAGTTGGGGCCTATTATGAATTAGTAATCCTAGAATGTTAACCATACTTCACTCAGGGACTGCTTGGCTGTATGTTGTGTCATCCTTGAATTCTTGCAATAATGTATTTCCTTTCAAGGGGAAAAGGCATCACTAGTAGTTAAGAATTTCTTTCCAGATCTAAACAGTACCTATAAAGATGACAGAACTCAAGTGTATGCAGACTGCATGTTTGCATACTGTATGTTTGCATACTGTCTGCTCTCATGCATCTTAACAAAAAACCTGGATGGGGGAGGGGCAGAGATCGTGAGAGAGAGAATCCCAAGCAGGCTCTGCACTGTCAGCTTGGAGTCCGACTCAGGACTTGATCCCACAACCTGTGAGATCATGACCTGAGCTGAAATCAAGAGTCAGATGCTTAACCCACTGAGCCACCCAGGCGCCCCTCTCATGCATCTTTCTTAATGCAGATGGTACATTCCATGTCGTGATAACAATATTGGCTTACCACAGAAAGGAAACTGAACTTTGAGCCAACTATTTTTCTTATATTATCTCATCATGCTCTTATGGTTTGAAGACAGTTTGACAATCTTACACATTAGGAAACTTGAGCAACATGCCTGTTACACAGTGCCTGCATATAATGCCCTTTCATCTCCAGTTCACCGCTAATAAATTGATGTAGCCATACTGAGGAGTACTGAAAGTGGTTGAGTTTCTCTACTTCGTCATTGTTACCAGAGGTTTTCCCTGTCTTGGCTAGATGAGGACCCTGTCCAAATTAAGTTGTCTCTTCAGCCTGTGTGTGTGTGTGTGTGTATTCTTGAGTTCACACATTCACTTGGTCATTTGGGTGTTTTGGTTTTAAAGTCCTCCTGAGGAGGTGATGACAGCCAGAGGAGTTTAAATAAAGTGATACATTGTTAAAAGGGCCTTATTGATTTATCATGTGAAATACTTAAAGGCAGAATTTGCCTAGATATTTCAAAACTGAGTAACATTTTCTGACTGACCCAAGCCAGATTAGCAGCCCTGTGGAAAAATGAAGGCAATGCCTATTGCTTAAGTACCCATTTCTCACCTTCCCTTGGGATACCGTGCATAGTGTCTGAGGAAGGACAAAAATTTTAATATACTCTCAAGTAATTTTAACAGTGTATTTGCTACATGAAATTAGTGTACTCCAAAGATAAATATCATCATGGTGGGAGGTGGTCAAGATGACCATTATGCATATGAGTTAATGAAAGCACATATTTTACCGAGTTTGTCATTGCCCAGGTGTTGCATGGTCCACTGAAACTGTATAGTTTCAACTGTAAGTTGCAAGTTGACAAGTTTACTTCTGATTATGTACTCACTGATATTTGGACGATGGGGAACCATAAGAATGTGTAGAGTCCAAATTTTACTACCGTATGATAAATGGTGATTAACATAAATAATTTGCACAACAGAAGCATTTCCCTGGTCTAGCCAATTGCCTACTTGTTTCAAGCAGTATTTAATATAATAAAATTACTGCAAAAGAAGAAAATTTGTGCCCTTCTTTTGTCATAGTGACATTCTCTCTGACAATGGATCTTTGTCTAGGTCTTGAATTTCCAACAAAATGAGTGGAATACCCTGTTTCAAGGCTGTTTGCAAGAGAAAAAATAAATGCTTAATATCAGTCATTTGTGAATTTAAATAGTTTAAATTTTTAGTTAAAATTGTGTGCTCAGATGTTCAGATTTATCATGAGGAAGAAGAACTAACCAGCTATCTGCAAAATTACTATTTGCATCAGTAAAAATGAGCACACAGACTGTATAGTGTTGCCCATATAGTCAAAATTGACTATTTTAGATCATTTTTAAAAAACTATTTTATTTTTAAATTGTATTATTATTTTAGTAATCTCTACACCCAACATGGGGCTTGAACTTATTCTGAGATTGAGGGTCCTATGCTTTTCCAGCTGAATCATCCAGGTACCCTTGGCCATTTTATTTTATTTTTTTTAAGTAGGCTTCAGGCCCAGTGAGGAGCCCAAAATGGGGCTTGAACTCATGACCCCAAAATCAAGACCTGAGCTAAAATCAAGAGTTGGACTGAGTGAGCCACCCAAGTACCCCTCCCTCTCCCTGTTTTGAGTGCAGGTAGGGGAGAGTGGCAGGGGGAGAGAGAGAGAGAGAGAGAGAGAGAGAGAGTGAGGAAGGGAGGGAGGGAAGGAGGGAGGGGGAGAATCCCAAGCAGGCTCCATGCTCAATGCACAGCCCTACTTGGGACTTGATCCCATGACTCTGGGATCATCACCTGAGCTGAAATCAAGAGTCAGACACTCAACTGACTGATCCACACAGGTGCCCCTGGTTCATTTGTTTTCTTTTTTAACGTTTATTTATTTTGAGAAAGGGGGGGGGAGTGTGATGGGGGAAGGGTGGAGAGTGGGAATCCCAAGCAGTCTCCATGCTATCAGTGCAGAACCCCATGCAGGGCTTAATCCCAGAAACCATGAGATCATGACCTGAGCCAGTTTCAAGGAGATACTGCTTTTCTAGAATGTTTTTCTAAAACGCTTTTAGTGGAGAATAGAAAGTGATGATTCAAGACAGCTGGGCATGAACACTCATTTAGAGCCCCAATCCTGTTGAACTCAGATGACAAAAGAAATTTGCATGGCCCAGATTTTTTCTTCTGCCTTTGACCTTGAATGTCTCTGGAGACTGAAAACAGTGTTCAGGTGTTGGCTGGCACTCCTCCTGTACTATGCTGAACCAGCAGGCATCTTCAGCCTTTTGGTTTACTTCCCCTTGCTGGATTAATTTCACTGAGTTGGTGCTGTGCATCCCTGTACTACGTTTAGTCTTTGAAACTGGATGGGCACATTCTCTCAGAGGAGGACTGTGAGTCATAACAGTCAGCACTGGGAAAATCTGTTTCAGTTGTCTGAAGCCATGATCCAGCCAAACTTACAGCATCTCTGGTAGACAACTGAGGATGTTCAGATGTCTTGTTCTTAAGTTCTCATGTCTGTGGCTAAGAGTCAGAATTCCTAATCTTAGGTGTTTTTTTACGTAATGTCTGCAGCCAACCTGGGGCTCGAACTCATGACCTATAGATCAAGAGTCATATGTTCCTCTGACTGAGCCAGCCAAGCACTCCTCTAGTCTTAGTTTTTGTTTCATGACTGTTCTCCCCTTCTGAACATTTTGGCTATATTTGTGAAGTTTTGATGTCCTAAAGAGAGATGGATAGTAGATTCATGGATAGTAGAAACAATGCCTGATTGAGTCAGGATCCCTGGGTTCTAGTGACTGGATTTAAGGAAAAATCACCTCTGTTCTCTGGGCATTAGGGTCCTTTCCTATTGAATGAAAGGTTGGCAGATTATCTAAAGAATATCCTTTCTAGACTGAAAGTATATACCCTTCCCCTTTCTAAGTGATTACTGAGTGTATGATGCCCTGGGCTGCCTTTCCCTACCCAGAACCTGTCTTTTAGGAAATTACTAAGGCTGCAGATGTCCTACTACCAAGCAAGTAGTGGGTGTCAGGGTCTGATGAAGTATTTGCCAGGAGTCAAAAATATTAATAGCCACCTGTCTCTGCCTCTCTCATTCCAAAGTAAAATGTTGTTTTATGTTGTTTTGATCTTTTACTCCTCAGTAACAACACACACTGAATTTTTTTTGCGAGAGAATTTTGATTGTTTTGGTAAGTGATACTTCCATTCTTCCATTAAATGAACTTGAAAATTAGCTTGAATTCTTTTGAATTTAAGAAAAATAAGGTTCTAAAGTGATCAAGCACTTGATGTTCCTGAGGTTCTCCTAGTAAGCCTAGTTTATTGAATCTGTTTGGTTAGGTCAACCTCTTTGAAGGTGTTAAACCAAAATACAGTTACTGAGAGAGTTTGTAAGTAAAAATGAGTCTCAATAAGAACCTAGATTATAGGGTAAGGGTTCCCCTCAACCAAAGATAGATTTTTTTATAGTAATAATAGAAATCGAGTTCTTCAAAACTTGTTATGGTGAGGAAAGACATAAACTCTGTGAGTTATAAGATATTTGCACATAGAAATCAAAAGTAGTACACTAAGGCATTTATGATGATCAGATGTGGCAGTTTAACATTGAATTTTAGGTGTGCAAGCCTTCTCTGGCAGACTCCTAGGTTCTTCAAGACCCACTTCAAATATTACTTCTCTATGAAGT